TAATAAACACTGTTCAATGAATAAAAAATGGGGCGTCTATTTCAAATAAGCAGTGTCAAATATAATAACGTTTGAAAAATAATAATGTCGGATTGTAAATATATCCATTAATTCTTTAGAAAAAAATATATATCATAGCCAGGGAATTTGTAGATATAATCCATGCAGGCATAAAAAATAAACATTACATGGGGAGTTTCACCCCTTAAAATATCATCAGAGTTTATGGTATTGCTCTTTGTGAAGGCCCGAAATACAGGTCACTAGGTTCTTATAGGAAGCCAGGGAAAGTAGAAAACGTTTTTTTTTTCTTGTTTGTTTTTCTTTTAGTATTAACGATTTAAAATTATAAAACTTTAGCATTTTAATCATATTTAAAAAACTTCTAATAATCAAGCTTCCTCCTCCATAAATAAAGCAACTTTGAAACTCTCTCTGTACACACACACACACACACACATATATATATATATATATATATATATATATATATATATATATATATATATAATCAGTTTGTATGACGATCGCTAAAGCGTGAAACCCAGGGTCACAAACTCACATCTATCCAACCATATATATATATATATATATATATATATATATATATATATATTCAGTTTGGCTGACGATCGCTAAAGCGTGAAACCCAGGGTCACAAACTCACATCTATCCAACCATATATATATATATATATATATATATATATATATATATAATCAGTTTGTCTGACGATCGCTAAAGCGTGAAACCCAGGGTCACAAACTCACATCTACCCAACCAAATATGTTAGCTCTATCTCTGATATTGAGCGCTTTCTAATGTGGCACCTTGCATTATTAGAAATATTCATAGAAATATGATTTAATTTTTTTTTACTCGGTTTATTAAACAGGTTGTTAATTTTTCTTAGACGAAGAATAATTGAGTTGAAAATAATTCACTAAGTTGTACTTAGACGATCCTAAGAGAAGAAGAAGGAAAAAAAAAAGAGGAAGAGAAGAAAAAAAAGGAAAGAGAGGTGGATGATGCATGACCCGGTCATAAGCGGAAACAGGTGTCAGAAAGATATCTTGGCCAACATGTTGGCCGAATTTTAAAAAAGACAATAGGGAATTGTTATTTGAAATGAAAAGTCATTTAGAGAGAGAAAAGGACCAGGCTTGATGACAGCGTATTGGTGTTTGATAAGAATGTCGGTCAAAGCATCTGGCCTACTTTTTGCGTAGAAAGACTCATTATCAATTTGGAGAAAGGGAAATTTTTTTTAGAACAATAGAAACGAAATTTTTTAATCGGAGAAAAAGTGTCTTTTGGGTTGAGGGGGTGACCGGTGGAACTGTATACAGATTCTGACCTGTTAAGAATTGGAAACCCACGATAATAAAGTGGAGACATTTTCAATGTAGATAATTAAGATTTTTGACTATCAGGTCTGACCGAAAAAAAAAAAGAGGTGAAGAAGGCGGATGTCTCGGCTCACAGATAGCGCCAATATTCTTTCCTGAAGTCACATCTAATTAACGGCAGGCTGTTTTGACAGAACCCAGGTGAGAAAAAGCCAAGATTATCATTTTTCGTACGTGCGAAAAAGGCAAAATTAGATTTTTTTTTTTTTTTTTTAGAACAAGAACGATGTAAACCACGCCCGAAAACAGGAGAAAGAATGCCCGATCAAGAACCATTGGTCGAAAACGGTCACGTGATCTGCGGAAAAGAAAGAAAAGAATGCTCGATCAAGAACCATTGGTCGAAAACGGTCACCTGGCATGAGGACCGGGAGAGATGGATATGCGCCTCCCCACCAAAGGCACTATGAGGAAGTAGGGGTGAAAATAATAGCGATAATGGGAAGACAGAAATAATGCGGCTATTGGAATTATCGAGAAACCCCTGACGCCGACAAACCCACCCCGTTTTGTTGCGGCGTCAATAAAAGCAGGACCCCAGTCGACAGAAATGAGTTGCAGCTGGACCGCGGGCAGGGATAGAGCCTGAACGCGGGCATCAGGCCCGATTCACTCGCCCCTTTGCGGGCAAGAGAATCCTCAGACAAGAAATCCTTCCACCCAAGTCGAAGACAAGAGAACTTCCAGCCCAAGCAGACGAAGAAGGAGATTGCTCGAAGGACGCCAAGAGTTGTGGCAGAGTTACGGCAGAGTTACGGCAGAGTTCAGCCCCGGACGGCAGCGAGAAGAGATCACCTGGGACGACAGAGAGTTGCGGCTGAGTTGCGGCAAGAAATCCTTCCACCCAAGTCGAAGACAAGAAATCCTTCCAGCCCAAGTCGAAAACAAGAAATCCTTCCAGCCCAAGTCGAAGACAAGAGAAGTTCCATCTAAGTCGACGAAGAAGAAGATTACTCGAAAGCCGCAGAGAAGTTGCAGCCGAGTCAAAGACAGGCCGAAGAGTTGCAGGCCAGACAAGAAGTAAAGTTGCAGACCAAACAAGCAAATCAGTTCCACCTCAGTCGACAGAAAAGAGTTGCTGGACGGAAGAA